GGAGTGCCTTGCTACATTGGCTATGGCGCTGTGTGTTTCTATTGGTGCACACAGTGTAGGGAGACACAGATCTAATCTCTGCATAGAAGGGTTGTGTTAGGGATCCGGGTATGACCAGAAATGTGTGGACTGACACAGGGAAACACAGACTTCAGGTATAGTGTGAATAAGACAATTTATTAAGACTAAACAAAACATAGATGCAGTACAAGACTAAACAACAACACAGTGCAAACAAACCAACCCAAACCTCCAACAGATAACAATAGAAACAATACTAAGCGTAGTTGGGCAGGCCGGGTCGGTAGCAAACAGGTAGGCAGGGCACAAGGAGCAGTCAGAAGAGTAGTCAGGAATAGCCGAGGTCAGGACAGGCGGAGTTCATGCAGAGTCAGGGATCAAAGCAGAATCTGGATCAGGCAGGAAGCAGACAGGATGCAGGTACAAGGGCCCATGGGAAACATACACCAAGGCCCTGATCACAGGCCTGGCCATTCCTTAAATACTGCAAAATGAAATAAAAACAAGAAGCGCACCAGCCTTGCGCATTACCTCAATAACCAAAGTTTATTACTTGTAAAAAACATACTCACAAACAGCGAATAAAATCAGGCATGCAAGTCCTCTCAGGGACTTGAAGACAACATGAGTCCCATCAGGGGAATGGATGTTCAGCACAGCTGACGCGTTTCGAAGGGGGTCCCTTCTTCCTCAGAGCTGACTGAACCATGAGTGCTCCCTCCTATATATACACATACCTCTGGACTAAAACTAGGCCCTCCCTACCCGGGTTGGGCAGTCTCAGGATAGTAGGAGGGGCCAGAATCTCATAAACTAACCATCAATATTTGTAGTGCCATTAGAGAGAGATAACATACAATTTATAAAATGTATAAAATACATAAAAAACATATATATAAAAAACATATAAAAAATATACAATATATATAAATAGAAAAAAAAAAAAAAAAAAAAAAAAAAACCCCACATTTTGCATACGCCACTTAGTGTGCATCCAATCCCTCAATTTGACTGTGACACCAGAGGAGATAATGATCATCAACAATTATGAATAACTATCATGTTTCGTGTTACATTAGTGATACATTAGTGAGCAGTGTGTCCCATGGACACTTCATCCGGAGGACTTGTCATAACGCTGGATGAAAATATAGCGATCAATGTTACAATAATCATAGATTCTCCATAGTGGCACAACCACATGTATATAAATGTCAAAACATATATAGGCAAATGTACTGCTAATTCAGGTTTGATGATTCTCAGCCTGAGCGGTTTGACCACCTCATTGGATTGGTCTGAAGGTACATATAACAGTAAGCCGGCCAGAGGGGAATTCCCTGACAGGTTCTTTCCCTCAAGGAGAGCCTCATCAGAGGTTGGGGGCGGGTGAGCATGTCGGGCTTCTGATTCAGTAGAGCGGGGTTAGCGCACGCGTACAAGTGGCCGTCAGATGCGCGTGAAGGGGGCGTACGTGACCGCGCAGACGGACTTCTCTTCTCATACTGCGCATGCGCATGTTGGTTCACGCATGCGCGCAGTTATGAACTTGGAGTATTAGCGTGCGTTCCATACACAGGCTAAACCAGGAAGCAATGAGGGAAGTTAATGTCCTCCCTCTGCAGCTGACCACAAAGCACCATGGATCCAAGAACATTTGATCTAATCCCCTTCATCAACGGATCGGGGAACGCGTGCAGCTGTCTGGTGAGATATATATATATATATATACATATATATATATGAGAAATACATAGCATCGGGTTGAAGGTCGGGGTGTGGATGTGTATTTATATATATATATATATACAAGTCTGTGGGTTTACAAATGTGTATACATGTGGATTCAAGAGTTCTGATTTAATCCTCTTCATGCCATGAAACGCATGCAGTTGTCTGGTAGTAGAAAATACACACAAAAAACACACAGCTCTGGGTTAAAGGTCTGAGCGTGGGTGGATTTGCCTATATATGTTTTGACATTTGACATTTATATACATGTGGTTGTGCCACTATGGAGAATCTATGATTATTGTAACATTGATCGCTATATTTTCATCCAGCGTTATGACAAGTCCTCCGGATGAAGTGTCCATGGGACACACTGCTCACTAATGTATCACTAATGTAACACGAAACATGATAGTTATTCATAATTGTTGATGATCATTATCTCCTCTGGTGTCACAGTCAAATTGAGGGATTGGATGCACACTAAGTGGCGTATGCAAAATGTGGGGTTTTTTTTTTTTTTTTTTTTTTTTTTTATTTATATATATTGTATATTTTTTATATGTTTTTTTATATATGTTTTTTATGTATTTTATACATTTTATAAATTGTATGTTATCTCTCTCTAATGGCACTACAAATATTGATGGTTAGTTTATGAGATTCTGGCCCCTCCTACTATCCTGAGACTGCCCAACCCGGGTAGGGAGGGCCTAGTTTTAGTCCAGAGGTATGTGTATATATAGGAGGGAGCACTCATGGTTCAGTCAGCTCTGAGGAAGAAGGGACCCCCTTCGAAACGCGTCAGCTGTGCTGAACATCCATTCCCCTGATGGGACTCATGTTGTCTTCAAGTCCCTGAGAGGACTTGCATGCCTGATTTTATTCGCTGTTTGTGAGTATGTTTTTTACAAGTAATAAACTTTGGTTATTGAGGTAATGCGCAAGGCTGGTGCGCTTCTTGTTTTTTATTTCATTTTGCAGTGCTGATTGGGCTTCCCCAGCCTTGGTTTGGAGCTGCACAGCCCTTTATGCAGTGGTGATCGTTTTCCCTAGGCCTGGTTCCATCTGGTGCCACCTGTCTGAGTCCTGGAGCGCAGGAGAATTCTTTTTCGATTTTCCATTCCTTAAATACACCAGTTGTAATCAGCTTCAGGTGATGGCTCATTGCAGGAGTGAGCCTCTGGTTGCTGAGAGCACCCTCTGGCCAGCCCTGGTACTGCAGCCCATAAGGCAGGAGAGTCCCACCACCACTGGCAAGTCCATTCCTGACAGGTTGTCCCCAGGGGCGGACTGACCATTTGGAAACTCGGGCATGCTGGAGGGCCCGGGGTCGGTAGGGGGCCCCATGAGATGCCCCTGGTACCTTTTTTTATAGGCTTTTTTGAGTTTGGGCAAGGACACAGGGGCCCCATGATCCCCTATTGCCTGGGGGCCCCATGAGTTGTCAGTCCGCCCCTGGTTGTCCCATAGCATTCTGCAAGAGAAAGGAGCCTCTGGTGTGTTGGCAGCTCATCCCTTTGAATGACCTGCCATAGCACAGCATGGCATAACCCACTGGAGCAGAGAGGTGAGAATGGGCCCTTAGCGGCAATGGAAAATGGAGCTTCGTCATATTGGTTAGGCTCACCCCACAGTGGTATGCTGGGAAAAAAAAAAAATCCCCATACTTAAACTGCGTCGCTGTTCAGCATCACTCATTCCTGCTTCAGTAATGAAACCCACACAAAGCCTGTACAAGTGTTTTCATGTGTTCAATGGCAACACGCTATTCATGTCTCAGCACTGCTCCATTATGTTCCCCCAGCGCTAGAAAATGTAATTAATTTTTTTAATAAATAGCAGTTTGTGGGGGGAGGGAAGGAGGATTCGTAATTAGTTGTTTTTTTTTATATTTGTTCGCTTTGGGTGCAGTTCTCTGTTATACCGTGACATTTCGTAGGTGTTTTATATTCCCGTTCTTTTCATGATTGGGTTGTTGCAATTATGTCTGCGTTGAATCTAAACATAATGATTTCTTATGCTTGGTATTAGAATTATAATAGAGGTTTGATTTCTTTAGTATCTTAACAAAAGCACTTTAAATTATAAAAGACGGTGTTCTTTTCTGTGTCTCCTAGGCGGTATCAAGTGCCCGGTGTGTAGTTTTGTGTACAGCACAAAATGGGAGTTCAACAGACATCTGAAGAGCAAGCATGGACTGAAAGTGGTGGAAAATGGCAAAGAATCAGGATGGGAGGTCAGGATGATGTATGGACTGTTGAGAGAAATCTGTATAGAAATAATAGAACATTGCTTTGTTAAAAAAAAAATGTTATATATATAAATATTGAGATAGATATAGATGTGTGTGTATATGTGTAGATAGATAGATAGATATACTGATCCAAGAAACTAAAGGAACACTTTGAAAACACACCAGATCTCAATGGAGAAAAATATTATGCTGGATCTCTATACTGTTCTGGACTGGGTAATGTGTTGGAACGTAAAGATGCCCCATCATTTGATTTTCGGGGTGTCCTTGAATTCAGTCCTCTGTAGGTTGATCATTTTCATTTCCATCAAAGTGAAAAAATGATGCAGCAGGCGAGTCCATTTTGCTTAAATTTCGTTGCAGCAACTCAGAATGGTCCTCAGTAGTTTGTATGGCCCCCACGTGTTGTATGCATGCCTGACAACGTCGGGGGAGGCTCCTAATGAGACCACGGATGGTGTCCTGGGGGATTTCCTCCCAGATCTGGACCAGGGCATCACTGAGCTCCTGGACAGTCTGAGGTGTAACCTGGCGGCTTCGGATGGACCAAAACATGACATGCCAGAGGGGTTCTATTGGATTTAGGTCAGGCGAGTGTGGGGGCCATTCAATGGTATCAATTCCTTCATCCTCCAGGAACGGCCTGCATACTCTCGGCACATGAGGCCGGGCATTGTCATGTAGCAGGAGGAACCCAGAACCCACTGCACCAACGAAGGGTCTGCCAATGGGTCCAAGGATTTCATCCCAATACCTAATGGCAGTCAGGGTGCCATTGTCTACCCTGTAGAGGACGGTGCGTCCCTCCATGGATATGCCTCCCCAGACCATCACTGACCCACCACCAAAACAGTCATTCTGAACCATTTTACAGGCAGCAGAACATTCTCCATGGCTTCTCCAGACTCTTTCACGTCTGTCACATGTGCTCAGGGTAAACCTACATTCACTATATCAGGTCTTCCAGGACCCTACATTCACTATATCTGGACTCCCCGGACCCTGCATTCACTATATCTGGTCTCCCTGGACCCTGCATTCACTATATCTGGTCTCCCCGGACCCTGCATTCACTATATCTGGTCTCCCCGGACCCTGCATTCACTATCTCTGGTCTCCCCAGATCCTGCATTTACTATATCTGGTCTCCCCGGACCCTGCATTCACTATATCTGGTCTCCCCGGACCCTGCATTCACTATATCTGGTCTCCCCGGACCCTGCATTCACTATATCTGGTCTCCCCGGACCCTGCATTCACTATATCCGGTCTCCCCGGACCCTGCATTCACTATATCCGCTCCCCCCCGGACCCTGCATTCACTATATCCGGTCCCCCCGGACCCTGCATTCACTATATCCGCTCCCCCCGGACCCTGCATTCACTATATCCGCTCCCCCCGGACCCTGCATTCACTATATCCGCTCCCCCTGGACCCTGCATTCACTATATCCGGTCTCCCCGGACCCTGCATTCACTATATCCGGTCTCCCCGGACCCTGCATTCACTATATCCGGTCTCCCCGGACCCTGCATTCACTATATCCGGTCTCCCCGGACCCTGCATTCACTATATCCGGTCTCCCCGGACCCTGCATTCACTATATCCGGTCTCCCCGGACCCTGCATTCACTATATCCGGTCTCCCCGGACCCTGCATTCACTATATCCGGTCTCCCCGGACCCTGCATTCACTATATCCGGTCTCCCCGGACCCTGCATTCACTATATCCGGTCTCCCCGGACCCTGCATTCACTATATCCGGTCTCCCCGGACCCTGCATTCACTATATCCGGTCTCCCCGGACCCTGCATTCACTATATCCGCTCTCCCCGGACCCTGCATTCACTATATCCGCTCTCCCCGGACCCTGCATTCACTATATCCGCTCTCCCCGGACCCTGCATTCACTATATCCGCTCTCCCCGACCCTGCATTCACTATATCTGGTCTCCCCGGACCCTGCATTCACTATATCCGGTCTCCTCAGACCCTGCATTCACTATATCTGGACTCCCCGGACCCTGCATTCACTATATCTAGTCTCCCCGGACCCTGCATTCACTATATCTGGACTCCTCCCGGACCCTGCATTCACTATATCTGGACTCCCCGGACCCTGCATTCACTATATCTGGACTCCCCGGACCCTGCATTCACTATATCCGCTCTCCCTGGACCCTGCATTCACTATGTCCGGTCTCCCCGGACCCTGCATTCACTAAATCTGGTCTCCCCGGATCCTGCATTCACTATATCTGGTCTCCCCGGACCCTGCATTCACTATATCTGGTCTCCCTGCACTCACTAGATCTGGTCTCCCACAGTACACAGAACATGGACATGCAATTATTTTAGCAAATATAAGGTTCTAAATACTTTTCCTCCTCAGCAGTATAGAGCAATCTTGTGACTTCTATCAGTGTCCAACAGCGCACATGTTAAAGCTTGTAGTGGGAGTTTTCAGTTTGCTCTAGGAGGATGCAGAACCCCTGACCTCTGTCTAAACTGCAAGATCTCGCAGCATTGTCATACTGGGTGTGCATGAGATGAGGCACACATACCATCACATATGTATCTCTTTAAAGTACACTCATTTGCTGGGGGGAAAAAAGTTCTTGTGAAATCCCAGGGAAAAAGGTGTGTGTGTTTTCTTTTAATTTAAAAAAAAAACATCATACTGTGCATGACATGCGAATCATCTCACACATGCACTGTATGACAGAATAGTGACGTAAATTTTCAAAAGGGGGCCCAGGGAGCGCAGAAGCAGACCAAAAACTCTTAAAAATGAAGAATGGACATAGGTAAGTATGCTTGTTCATCTCCCCCACTGTGCATATTATTGTCAGTTTTATAGAGGAGGTAGGGGAAGAGGAAGGGATCCTCTTTTGAGCAGACAGGGCTGCTATGTTTTGTGGCAGAGCTGTGTAGATTTCAGGACTGGATGGGCAGAAATACAAATATATTGATAGGTAAAACGGCTCCCATATGCATTTCATTGGTCTGTTCAACTGTTTGCCTGGAGTTCAACTTATATGCTTGTTCACATCGCTATGATCTCTGAAGAGTGATCAGTGTCAGCTCTTCAGAGACCATATGACAGGCAGTAGGAGACCTGTCGCTGCCTCACCACCTGCTTTGACCCCTTAATCCCCACATTGCATGCGGTTGCAGGGCACTTGCAGAGCAGTCCCATTCCCTTGATCGGGTCACGTTCCATGGGCGCTGTGCCTGCCAAAAGCAAAAGGGGGGTACAATTTCTGCCACAAAGCAAGGAATCATGGCTGCAGCATGTGTCCACCTTCAGCCACTGTTCCTGCTGCTAAAGGGGATAGTGGTTGAGGGCGGTAAAAGCTGACTCGCGGGCCTGGGGTCAGTAGAGGGCCCCATGAGATGTCCCTGGTACCTTTTTCATAGGCTTTTTTGAGTTTGGGCAAGGACACAAGGGCCCCATGATCCTCTATTGCCCGGGGGCCCCATGAGTTGTCAGTCCGCCCCTGGCTTCAACATAAACAGAGCAATGTTTTCACTGGCCGGTATCCGTTCAGCTTGGGCATGCTTGGTAGGGAGGCCCCAACTTCACCTGGAAGCCAATGCTATGGCACACTGTCACCTTCCACCCCCTTTACCCCATGTTGCCCCCCAATGTCCGTCTTTTTGTGGTAACAGAGCAGAAGAGGTTCAATTCTCAGACATCGCATCTAGAAAAAAATCCTATCAAATGAGTTCTTCTTTGTATACCGGTGAAATTGCTTCATAAAAACAGATTCTGTTGAATATTTTTCACCTTTTTTTAATTTTTTTTTGTAATTTTTTTTTTTTTTTAATTACTTAATTTTTTTAACCACTTCCAATCCGGACACTTTTACCCCCTTCCTGCCCAGGCCAATTTTCAGCTTTCAGCACTATCACACTTTGAATGGCAATTGCGCGGTCATGCAACCCTGTACCCAAATTAATTTTTTTGCATTTTTGTTAAACCGATAAAGCTTTATTTTGGTGGTATTTACTCACCACTGGGATTTTTATTTTTTTTGCTATGTAAATGAAAAGTTTAAAAATTTTGAAAAAAAGTGTTTTTCTTATAAAATTTTTCAAATAAATATTTCATCATAAAACGTGGCCAAAATTTATTCCATTATCTTTTTAGTAAAAAAGAAATAACCCAAATTAGTTTATAACCAAAATTATAATTCATAAACATTTTTTTTACATTTTTATTTTTTTATATTTTTTATGTTTTTTTTTTGGGGGGGGGGGGGGTTTTTACATACTGTCACCCTAGCAGTACAGTGTCACCATGGTGGGGGGATGATGAAGGTTTTTTTTTTTTTTACACTGATTGCTTTTACACCCATAAAGGATGTAAAAGCAATAATTTCTCTTTCTCTCTGTCTGCATTATTGCAGCCATTGAGAACTACTGTGTGAGCTGTGATTGGTCACAGCTTGTCACATGGTACAAGGCTGTTGTGAATAGCCTTGTACCATGTGATCTCTGTGATCATTCACAGATTTCACACGTAGTAAGCAATGATGTCACAAGTGACATCTTGCTTACTACTCTGTATGTGATCACTGATTGGCCCAATCAGTGATCACATGATCGGGACCTCGCAGAGAGGTCCTGTCCGACGATCAGTGTTCCACTGTCTGGAGGACACAGCGGGCACCGGATCGCGGTGCTGCACGCTCCCAGGGGGCGGGGAAGCCATTTATAAATGGCCACCCGACCCTGCACTGCCACCGTTTGGCCGTTTATATACAACGGTCGGACGGGAAGTGGTTAAAGAAGTTGGCAGCACCGAGTGCAGAAGTTGCTTGCAGCAGCTTATTGAGGTAGGAGATGTGTCGGAGCGGATTTGAGTCAGTTCCATTTTAATTGTTCTTCCATTTGGCCGTAGAAGAGGCCAGGGCCCGGCAGCCAGGGGGCCCGTAATGTGATGTGAAGAGAGCTTCAGGTTCTGGCACCACAACTGGGCGCTGTAAGGTTGGTGATGAATGTGCAGCCTGTCAGGGGGTTGTCAGATAAGCGGCAGATCTGTGCTACTAGGCAGCATCTGTTTACAGTGATTAATGTGCAGACAATGCATGGAGTAAATGGCACATCAACAGCACTTTGTGTCTAACGGCTAATGGATTGCCTTTCCTCCACGATGGGGTGTAATGTCACTGGACTGTCACTACCCCAGCACAATTCTTGTCTCGGAGACCTGTTAGCAAGGGCGCTTTCTTCAAAGCTGGACTTCAGGCGAACCGCAGTTAAAATACATATAAAGGATTTGTATTTCTGCCCATCCACTGCTGATATTTACACAGCTTAGCCCTGACTGGCAGGACAGCAGATCTGACTTTCTCTTTGCAGCAGTTATATTCTGTGCATCTAGGGCTCATTCACCTCTGGGATAGGGACTGCCACCCCTCTGAAAAGTGATCCGCACTCTGTTCACTTTTCAGAGGTGTGAGGAGGGGAATGTTACCTCCTCACTACCTGATTTAACCCGAGTTGCCAAACTGCTGCACTGTAATCATGTGCATTGATCGCAGTTGCAGATTGGCCAATCAGTGATCACATGAATCGGGACCTCACACAGAGGTCCCGTACAGCGATCCCAGGGAGCGCGCACAGGCAGTGAATGCGAAGGCCGTTTATAAACTGCCACCCGCTCCTGCACTGCTCCCGTCCGGCCCATGTACATAAACGGCTGGTTCAAAGGCTCGGTTCATACTGCTGTGATCTCAAAGGCGTGCGACTTTGCGTGTGAAATGATCTCTAGAGCTCCCAACCAGCCTATGTAAATAGTAAGAATCAATCTGAGCCTATGTGTCTCTGCTAGACCACGTGCCCTAATGTGTTTCGTCCTGCCTACCGTGACTTACTTATAGGCACCCTATGACTAAGCCCCGGTGGGTGGGGTGACGTGTCAGTGGGGCGTGAAATAGTGGAGACATGTAGGATGACGCCACTCCTTACCTTTTTACACATGCTGGTCGTGAGCGGCTGCGCTCCTTTAAACACATTCATTTGCTCTTTGGATTGGTACCAGGACATGCAGGCACCCTGTCTTCTGAGATCCAGGGATACACTTCTGTGACTTTTGTGATTTAACATTGCAGTCTATAGCACTCAAATCACACCGAAGTCACAGAAATGTAATGCAAGAACCTTTTTTTGTTTTTTTGTTGTAACTTTAGTCACAATGATTAAGATGAGACCCATTGAAATGAATGTGCTTTGACTTGTCATGTGACTTTGTCGCAAGTCGCACGGTGAGTTGCAGCAGTGTGAACTGGCGCTAAAGGGGTTAGAGTTGTAATGTTGCTAATGGAATCTGCCAGTTGACCCAGCAAGCCTTTGTTTTTGAAGTTGACTTTTAAGTGAGCAAACCTCTCTAGCTGGATGCTCCTTAATCTGCGTTTCTTGCCTGCATGATGTTTATGAAGCCTTCTTTGTGTTTATAATGTGCGACATTCAGCAGCTGGTGGATGTGACCGAGGAGATCTCTACGCAGTTCCTTCATATCGCTGAAGCCGAAGCAGATGCTCAGGGAACGCAGACAGCTGTTGCCGCTCTCCAGGATTTGAGATACACCTCGGAAACCAGTAAGTGGAGCATGAAGTTCATCCTTCCCGGGCCCTCACATGAATAATTAAAGAGTGAGGAAGTAAATATCGGCTCTTGTGTATTAGAACGTCGGACTGTTTGTTCCACTAGCACCTAGTGCGTGTTAAAGACCAGCGCCAGTTTAAAGTTCACCGTTTTTGTTCACCTGTGAGATGTTTGCTCTGCTCATCTAGTCACGCTTCTTCACTTTGCCATGTCCTCCTGACCCTATCCTCTTCTACTGGCCATGGGTCATCGGCAGTGGTGTATTTAGGCTTTGTGCTGCCCTAGGCAACACTAAAATTGCCCCCCCCCCCCCTGCAGAAAGAGCTTGACATTGACCAAAAACACCCCTGCCCTCCACCCGAGCCTTCCACTACCACTGCCTCCATACACCAGCTACCATCACCCCATGGTGAGAGAAAAACACTCCGCTTCACAGCTCCAGACATCCCCAGGAATGAGAAACCACAGCATCCCTTGGAACCCACCAGGTCCCCATGCTGTGTATGTCCCTTTTTCCGTCCTTTCTTCCAAGGGGCAGTGCTGCCCCCCCTGAAAAATGCCGCCCTAGGCAAATGCCTTGTTTCCTACAAGTGAAAGTGTTTTTACAAAATCATCCTATAAACTAAATTGTGTAACATAATCTCTACACCCTCCATCTACTATTCATTTTAAACAAAAAAATAAAAATATATTTATAAAGTCCACTACAAA